AGGGCTTGGGGTTCAGGGTTCAGGGCTTGGGGCTTGGAGTTGTTAAGGATCACCTCAAATAACGATGCTTCACGGAGGCCTCTGTTAGTTCATCCGACATGTCTACGTAGCCGAAGCCCGCAGCATCATGACCAGAGAAGGCAAGTGCTGGAACTCTGAAAAGTTCAGCTCCGACAGCCGCAAGGAAAGGTGCAACCAGTTAAAAAGAAGCAGGAGGAGAGTCATCAATTGCAAGAGAGAGAGAGAGAGAGCCGATTTACAATATTCAAAAAGTAAACCCTAAACCCGACCTATAGTCTCCATTGTAGTTCCTTTTTGGGGTTACCCTTTAGGATCCTTAATAGAAAGCTTGGTTAAGCCAAGAAAAGGAACCACAATGGAGACTATAATTCCCTAAACCCTAAACCTTAAACCCTAAAGCTCAAGCTCTTCTTACTTGTCAGCTCTGCTTTACGTGGTCCCCTTCGCTGGGGCCGAGATCCTGGACGCACTTTGCGGCTTGACTCAGTTTTTAGGGTTTAGGGTTTAGGGTTTTCAGCTTTGACAGGCTCAGGGTTTCCCAGTTTTTGAGGAATTTTAGGGGTTTTCGGATTACCTTAAACCCCAGAAACCCTATAGACCCTAAACCCTAGACCCTAAACTCTAAAGCCTAGACCCTAAACCGGGGCTTCAGGATTTAGGGTTTTAGGGTTCTACGGGGTTTTAGGATTGAGGGCTTCGGGGTGCCGTGGGGTTGAGGGTTCAAGGTTTTGGCACCTGAGGTTCTGTAATGTAGGAGCCTGAATAGCTAGAATAGGGTTTGGGGCTTCTTTATGGTATTACTGTAATAAGGACCCCTAAGAGTAATATTGGTAATTAGTTAGGCTTCCATTAGGGTGAATTGGGTTCTGGGCGCTAGCTTTCACGCCTCTGGCGTCAGGATGAAGCCTGCAACTCGCGTGTGCTAATATAGGGCCTTAATCATTACCTATACTACTTTGGGGGTATTACTCTAATTCTTTAGCATAATATACCTCAAAACCTTATTCTCATTATTAAGGCCCCTACATTACGTACTCCTTCCGGGCTGTTCAGGGTTTCACAAGTTCAGGCTCTGAGGGCCTAATTCGGAGTTGTACTTGCAACCCCCCCATCCAGTTGTTTTGGTTGGCGGTGATCAGATCGTGGGTTAGATTTGGGTACTGGGACTATTTGCCACAGTAATTAATAAGCCCTAAGGGTCCATGTACCCAAATAGTAGAGCATTGGCCTTAATGTAGTCCCTATATGGGTACTTTAGGGCCAATGTTCTCCTATTTGGGTACATGGACCCTTAGGGAAGGAAAGCAGTTATTAGTCATCAGATCAATGTCTGCACTCTGCGAGCTGGGTAATAGGGTGTTAGAGCTCTCTGCTTCTTGTCCGCGGTGTAGTGTATGGGCCTTAATAATTGGAATAGGGTTTTGGGCCATTACACTATAATCTGTTTATAATGAGGAACCCCCCCAAAAAAATAGTTTAGGTACCCATTTGGGCCCTACATTAGTTGTTTACCGGCCTGACTCTTCTTGGGGAGATTTCGGCCCCGAATAATTTAGTTGCCACTACGACCGGAAAGCTTCATATACATAGTGAAGCCAACAAACCCGGCCTGGATACTGTAGGGGGCCTCAATAACTACATCTACTATTTTACGGCTTCTTATTATAATTCTAGTATACTGAGTATACTGTACCCCAAAACCCTATTCTGATTGTTACTGAGGCCCCTACATTACCTATGCAGTTGAAACTCCTCTTGCGCCCCTCGAAGATTCCAATTGCCACGGTGCTACATCTCAAGCATGACCATCACCCCCCAACGGTTTAGGGTTTAGGGTTTAGGGAAGTTTAGGGTTTAGGGTTTAGGGTTTAGGGCTTTAACAGAGTCCCTTTATGGTCCTGAATACTTGGTGCTTAGGACTTGGGCTCTAATAAGGGGAAGTTGGCGGGGGTGTTGGTAGAGGATATCAAGATTCAGTGTGTGGGCTTATGGCTGAGGCTTCACATGCAGAGCCTGCAGCACTAAAACCTAGTGATCGAGTTGGACTTCGCGGTGCCGGTTTGGGGGTTAGCGGTGCGGGGAGTTGGGACTTTTGGGGGCTTAAGGGTTTGAGGTCTTAGAGTTTAGGGTTTAGGGAGTTGGGATTTTCTGCCCAAAAGCCTACACAGTGTACATCGTAGGGTGTGGGTTTTAGGGCTCTTGGATTCCTCTAAAAAATGGGTTTAGGGTTTTAGGGTTTAGGGGTTTGGGCTTTAGGGTTGGGGCTTTGCGACAGGCGTCAAGCCCATCATCCAAGATGCTGCGCGGCATCCACTCCCGGCGCGCACCGTGTCCGACTTCCTGACCCCTTTGAAACGTTCGGCTCATTTGTAAAGAAGTTTCGGGGCTAAGGGCATCACGGAATTCTGCGGGAAGGAGGGTTATTGAGGAAAAGTCTACATTTAAAATTTACCTGATCTTGAACACATGAACCATACTCCTTTAAATCCATCCTAGGTACTTGGCTACAATCTGGTCCTTTGCGCTGCGCGTACCAAGATGGTACAGCCAAAGTGCGAGGATTGACGTGGCCACGTTGGGAGTTCAATGCCGAAGTGGATGCGGCACACCAGAAGCAGCTGCATCTTGACTCATGTACCCTAAGGCGCCACGTACCTATATATATATATATATATTTAATTTAATTTATTTATTTTATTTATTTATTTATTCATTTATTCATTTATTTATACATAGGCCTTAATTAAAGTACCTATAAAAGGAACCTCTTTACGGTTTGTTCTAAGTACAAACACGAAAGGGTATATGGAGCTTCAGGGGTTGTCTTACGTCAAGTTGCCCCGAGCAAGTTTGAAAGTCTTCAAGTATTTACATGGAGAAAGTGGTTCCCTCAACCCTTATAACCCTAAACCCTAAACCCTAAAGCCTATAGTTCTATGTCAGGAACGTCTATGACCTGCACGAAGGCACGCATGAACTGTAGAGTTGGCGATACGGGCAATTCTCTAAACTAGGGTCCATTTTTGGGGCTCCTTTTATAAGGGTGCCGTACTATATTGGGGACCTAAAAAGGGACCCTAATTTAGAGAACTATCCGTACAATTTCGAGGAAGTAATGCTATTTAATTACACAGTCAGTGTAGAGGATATTGGACCTTTTTCGAAATCCGATGAACATCTCATAAACCCGGTGATTGCAGATGCCACAAAAACTTTAAATCCAGACTCTACCAAACGTCTACGGGTTTCCTTCGTCCTGTTTTGTGGAGTGAGGGGTCTCTCAAGGGGTCTTATCCGGAATCAGCTTTTACATGAGAGTTTCTGAGAAGAAGTGCTTGCAAATACACACGCTCAAACTGCCTGATACATTTAGGGATCTTCACAATCACGCGGCCATGCTTGATCCATGCAGCTTTCAAGCAAAGTATATTGCTCTAGTTTGCCATACTATTGAAGAGTGCCTTTTCTTTTTACGCCTAAAGCCTACAGCATATTACTTCTCTAACCGCATGGAATTGACACAGCTTGCTCAGTTTAAGCTGTTTGTGCGAGGGCTTGGCACAAGAAGTTCATTCCGAAGATCGTCCTTGCCTCAGTTGGTTTCAGTTTTAGGGTTTAGGGTTTAGGGGGTTTCAGTTTCAGTTTTTGGGTAGGGTATGGCCACCCGACTACCCTAAACTCCAGGCGCTACATATCTGACACTAAAGCAGCGCGAGGCTAACCTAGCGGGGTAATCTCTTCCGATTAGGGGTTCCCTGTGTGGCCTTATATTTTTGACTGTGTATGATTCGTTTTCGCCTAGAGTGGCATCTAAGATCGGTAGTGCCCTCACCCCCAAGCCACCCCTTTTGTTGAAGTCTCCAAACCCCAATGACATCTGAAACCAAATCTTCTGAGTTTCTTCTCACTAGCCGAGTCCCTAGCCCTAAACCCTAAACCCTAAACCCTAAACCCTAAACCCTACTCAAACTGCCGAGCCTGCAAGGGACAGGCCTCAACGCCATGCCGCACATTCCTACTTCTTACCGTTGAGCTCGGCTTGATGAAAGAACATGCCTAGAGTCGGTTTAGGGTTTAGGGTTTAGGGGTTTAGGGATTTAAAGCTATGTTAAGAGCCCCACTGACACCCAAGCCATCCGAATCCCTAAACTCTAAACCACCCTAAACCCCCGAAGCCTTAAACCCATAAGCCCCAAACTGAAAGGAACCCTGAAAGGAACCCCCCGTACCTCTGAAGGAACCTTTTAAAATCCTGATGGCCCAATTTAGGTTTCAGGTAGATTCGGTATTTTCTTTTTTGGGGTAGTCAGGATTGTGTAGACAAGTCTTAGAGTGGAAGATGTGCGCGTTACTGCAGGAGCTTGAACAGTTTGAGTTTAGGGTCTAGTGTTCAGGTTTATGGTTGAGGGCCTAGGCTTTGGGGTTCGGGGTTTAGTGGGCACTAATACTGTTCCTTAGGGCTCCTGAGTTTGATTCTACGATAACCTTCAGACCCTGTTCTTATAATTACAGCCTCTACATTATGGGTTTTTTGGCGATGGAGGTGTACGGTTTAGGGTTTAGGGCTTTGGTTCGAAGCTTCAGCGCTTAGGGTGTAGGGCTTCTCGGTTTGAAATTGAGGCTGCGGAGATATTGGACGTGTTGAGTCCTAGAGGGTTCGAACGCAAGCCGAAGCTACAAGCCTTCACTTTAAGGCTCGTGGCGCTTCGTAACTCGGGTTACCATTAGGGTACTATCGTCAAATGGCTTCTTTCAGGGCTCCGTTTAAGGTTCACTAACTAATTACAGTTGCATTACTTACCAGCTTAGTTCGTAAGTCCCATGATCCCTCATGTGCCAGGTAGGTGATATCCGACAAGACAACGTTTACGACGTGGACGTGAAGGCACTGCTGTTGCCCAACGTGCTCGATGTAGACATCTTGATGGCGTTGTTCCTTGGCTGACTGGAACATTACCTATGTCTCATTGGGATTGTATATGTTTGGTGTATTTGTACCTGTATATATAGATATATATACATACATACATACATACATACATACATACATACATACGTACGTACGTACATACATACATACATACATACATGCATATACATACAATGCCAATGTACACATGCGCATACATGCATCTGTAGATACGTATATGTAGTGATAATCTGTATAAATATATACATACACGCGTATATACATACATACATACATACATACATACATACATACATACATACATGCATATTTATATATAT